GAGCGCTACAAAGCTTGTTTGGTAGCCAAAGGTTTCTCACAGGAGTGTGGTATTGATTATGAAGAGACATTTGCCCCTGTTACCAAGATGACTATTGTCCGTACCTTGATTTCTGTTGCTGCTAGTAGACGTGCCCGAACGCCACGGCCCTCCGTGCACGAAATTGGCGCGAAAATCCGTTTTGTTCATTGGACTTACTACTACAGTTCGGATTCATGTCATGGTTCTGAATCTAATCTCGCAAAGTGCAATGCAAGACCGATAAATCACCAAAGAGTCCAAATCCGGCAAATCGTTTTGGAAAACTGATTTTTATAAAAAAGTGCCAAATATGGACTGCTTTGCCAGATACATAGTCGTCACTTAAATATTGTCCGTCATCACCAAAGTTGCCTCGGCTCGGGAACTTGGGTACGAGAGGGGAAGGTCATGCAATGAGCACCCCCGCTTGCCCAATTAAAGATCGGCATGTACTAAGCATGATATTTCGTTTTTGAAAACACATGTGCTCTTATTCCGATTAATTAGCTAATCTTACTACGTGATGCGCACAGCAAATAAGTATAGACTAGATCGCCTAATTTGGAACAAAACATTGCATATTTGTTTGAAAATGGTTTGAAGTTTGCTACTCGCAAGAAGGCTAAATCAGGGATTTGATGAATTGTTCCAATTCAAGTAATCCAACCTTTACCCACAGGCATTCAGGTAGTTATATCATTTAAGCAAATAGCCTCATGGTAAGCATGCTATCATGTCAATCAATAACACACATGCAGTGTGCTAAAGCGTAAACACTCACAGTGTACTCCGAGCCAAAACAGAGAACTAGTTAAAAGTCATGCATGACCCTAGTTCATGTTAAGATAGCTAATGCAATGCATGCGAGAATTTAACTAAAATAGGCTCGGCTATTCTAAAATGGCATGTGAAATGCAACAATTGATACATGTATTCAACTTGGTATTGAAATACAATGCATTTAGTATAATGCGCCGAGCCCGGTGCATGCAAGATAAATGAATGGATGCATACATGCAAACATAAAGATACTAATCAAAACATGCCCTAAAACTAACCACCGTAAGCGGTTAAGTAAAGGGGAGAAAGACTTGGGGTTAGAAGACATTCACACACACACACACACACACACTTATTACAAAATTCGCCCTCACGACGGAGGGTCCAAATAAATAATACAAACCAACTAATTAACTAACTAACAAGCTAATTAATTATTACACAACCAAATTGAATAATAAGCAAATCTACTTACTAATTATTATAACACTTAATTAATTAACAAATTAACTAATTGAATTACAAATTGAAGCTAACTAATAAGTAAGCATTAGACTAAGCTGCTCTAGCTTTGCTCGAAGAAGTAGAAGATGCATGCTCAGTTTCTGCCCCAAAAAGCTCTCTGGTTTGCTCTCAAGAGGCTCTGTTTGCAGGGTGTCTTCCAGTGCTTGCTGCTGAAACTTACCAAAACAGTGCTGAAGAGTGCACCATTGGCCTACCGGCCATGACGAGCTTCTGCCGACCCCCCTACCGACCAAGAGCAGGTACTGCCGGCCAAGAATGAAGGACTACCGGCCAACAACAAAAGGGTGTCGGCCATTGGTGTGCTGTAACACCAAGCTGCAGCAGAGCACAAAATAGAGAAAATTGAGGGTCTCCCAAGGATATGTATGCACTATGCCACTCCATATCACCTCAAAATATCAAGGGAAAGGCATAATCGGATCCAAGACCATCAATCACGCATCTCGATATATGATGGCCAAAGATCCAACATGTGCAAATTCAATGTAAAATGAATGCACAAATAAACATATAAAGCCTAGAACTCTATCATACATCGCCAAGAGCTTCGGCGACCGAGAATCGAGGCACGTTTCATCACTTGAAGTATGAAACGTCCCTCATTTCTCGTGCTTGAATTAATACTTAATCCAAACAACAATACAACACAAGCACGCCAAACATGCAATATGACTTAAGCATGCAAACATGCAATTACATGGCATACTTAATGCTGTGAATTACATGGCATGCACAATGCGATGTAAGATAAGCATACTCAATGCTTAATGGCCTGCATATTCAATGCAAAGCAACTTAAGATTCTAAATATAATGTAATGCATGCATGCACAATGCAATGAAACAAGGGCAGCTTATCAATGCTATGGACATGCATACTCAATGCAAAGCAAAATAAGCATACAAGCAACATGCAAGTGAACATGCCAAATGGACTTAAACCAAAAGGGGTAGACCTCAGTCATGCCCAAATTGGTGGCCATTAGTGCTAAAATGAGGATACGAAAAGCACGAAAAAGGCAAGACAAGCATGCATGCCAACTGGCTCAAGGATTAAGGCACAAAGATGCAACTCTTAAGCACACTTAAAGAGTGACAAGCATGGATATGTGATAGCACCATAAACTCTGAAATCATGTATGGAGTGATGCTAAATCAACCAAACAAAGCAAGTATAGCATATTAAGAGGCTTAAAGCTCAAGGTTAGCAAAGGGACTTACACCATAGCCATGCCAAACAAGCCTCAAAGGGCCAAGGGCAACCAAAACAGTCCCAAAGCAGGTCAAGACAAGACCAAAGACATGCTAGAACCTAACCAACACAAGCTAGAACAAAAGTCCAAAAAGCATGAGGCATGCAAGGCTTAACAAGGGAGATTACACTACACCTATTTCGACCCAACATGGCATGACTTGGACAACATAAAACAGAGTTACATCATGATACAACAAGACTAAAAATGCACTGATATGATGGCCCAAAGGCCTAGGCATGATGGCATGCACAAAGATTCACTTTTGAGGCATAAAGAGCCAAACCTCCAAGGCATTAAAAGAGTGACAAGCACAAATGTATGGCCATGAAATATGCACTGATATAACATTTTAAATGATGCCAAAGCATGCAAACATCACAAGTGTAGCATGATAGGGGCCTCAAAACTCAAGACTAGTCAAAGCATTTGCACCATAGCTATACAAAACATGAGTCATATGACCATGGCAGTCCAAAACAATCTTAGAACAGCCCAAAATGGCATTAAAAGAGTGACAAGCACAAGTGTATGGCCATGAAATATGCACTGATATAACATTTAAAATGATGCCAAAGCATGCAAACATCACAAGTGTAGCATGATAGGGGCCTCAAAACTCAAGACTAGTCAAAGCATTTGCACCATAGCTATACAAAACATGAGTCATATGACCATGGCAGTCCAAAACAATCTTAGAACAGCCCAAAATATGGATAAAATCATGCTGGAGTATAGCCAAAATATGCTAGCATGATGAGCCAAAACATAATGCATACAAAGCTAGTAAGCAAGATTTATACTACAAGTATATAGAGCATGCAAGAGGCTATCAAGCCAACCCAACCCAACCCAACCCAAATCAGAGTTATGACTTGTCAAATGATGAACAAAAACCTACTGAAATGAAGCCAATGCATGCTAGAAAGACATGCTACTTTGATGTGCCACAAATGGGATAACACTACACATACAAGAAGCATGCATAGGGTGACCAAACCAGCCATGGACAGAGTTAAGGCAAGTCCTAAAAGTCACAAAAAAGTGCCTAAACTAAGCCTCAAAAGTATAGAGATACATGCTCATTTGATAGGCCAATAACTCAAGTAAACAAAACAAAACAAAAAAGAGAAGGGGGTCATCCCCTCTGATTTGAGGCCTCAAAACCACATGTTTACCACTAAAAATCCACTGGATTTTAGTGGCTAAAAGGCCAAACAAATACTAACTCAAAGGCCTTAAGACATGGCACAAAATAAGGCCAAACAAGGCACACAAGAGGGTAGAACATCTTCAACACCAAAGAGGCCTTAAACAACCATCTAAAGCACTTAAAAACAAAACTTTTTTCAGTTGAAAGCAAGGCCTAAAACAATATGTAAGGATGGCCAAAGTGGTATACAAACAAAAGCTTAAATGGGAAAAACACTCACCCTTAAAGCACAACTTCAAAACCAGCAATATCTAAGGCCAAAAACCAATTTTCAGAGCTCAAACAACACTCCCAAGAACCTCAGCTCAAAGATGGTGGTGTATCACTATGTGTTTGTAATGCAAAAGTGAGAGAAAAATGCACTTTTAAGGCACAAAACAAACACAATATAGAGAGAAAGAATGAGAAATACATATATAGAGAGAGAGATATGTCTTCTCCAAAAATACTGAACCTTTCCTGGGGAGGAAGGGCCTCTCCTAATAAAGAGGCATGCAAAGCAAAGCTTGTTGAACAAGCTTGGAAAGGGCTTCATCCCTCCATATGGAGGAGAGATGAGTGAAAACCAGCTGGCTCAAAAGATCTGGAGTGAAATCTGCTGAGACAAAGTGTTCTGCCGGCCGTCAGTTGTGGCCGATAGTGTCTCATTGATGGCCGACAGGCTTCATCAATAGCAGGCAGGGACAAAATCATGGCCGGCAGGGCCAAAAGGTGGTCGGCAGTGCCTCACAATGAACATGCAGAAATGGCCAACACAGGGTCAAAAAATGGGGCAGAAAGGATACAGGGTTTGGAAAGCTCAAACCTGTGACGTTCCGCCGCGAACTCGAATACTCAACGAGCAATCGAACTTGTCATCGGATGTACCTACAAGCATATCCAAGTCTTGAGGACGGTAAAAAATGGGGTGTCTACACTGCTGTTCGACATTGGCCTCTCTATCAGATAAACGTTAAGAATGCTTTTCTTAATGATCATCTCACTAAGGAGGTCTACATGCTTTCTCCCCTTGGTCTTCTCAACTCCTCTGGGCAAGTTTGCCATCTTCGGCGTGCTCTGTATGGTTTGAAATAGTCTCCTCGTGCTTGGTATTATCGCTTTCAAACTGCTATTACCAAGCTTGGATTTCATTCTTCTGCTTCCGACTCTGCTTTGTTTCTGAGACATACCTCAGCTGGTTTTGTTGCTCTCCTACTCTATGTAGATGATATGATTATCACTGGCTCTAACTCTTCTGTTATCTCTGAGGTCAAACAACATCTTTTCCGCACCTTCGAAATGAAAGGTCTGAGTCTATTGCAGTATTTCCTTGATATTGAGGTTGCCTCTTCTCCAAAGGGCTATTTTTTGTCTGAGGCCAAATATGCTAATGAGGTTATTCACCATGCCCGTCTTACTAAAACTAAGGTTTCTAATACACCTATTGAGCTTAATGTGAAGCTCAACTCTACTGATGATGTCCCTCTGGATGATCTCATTTCCTATCGTGAGCTTGTGGGTTGTTTAGTTTATTTGACTGTCACTCGCTTTGATTTTACTTATGTTGTTCATGTGGTTAGTCAGTTCATTTCCGTTCCTCGCTCTACCTATTGGGATGCTTTGGTTCGCATTCTTCGCTATCTCAGAAGTACCATATTTCAAGACTTACTGTTGTCCTCTATTTCCTCTTTAGATTTGGTGGCCTATGCTGATTCTAATTGGGCTGGTGATGTTAATGATCGCAAGTTCACCTCTGGTTTCTGTATGTTTCCTGGCAATTCCTTGATCTCTTGGAAAAGTAAGAAACAAACTGTTGTTACTCGTTCTACTACCGAAGCTGAGTACCGTGCTATAGCTCATGCTACTGTTGAGATTGTTTGGTTTCATTGTCTTCTCTCTGATTTGGGTGTACCTCAGTCTTCTTCAACCTGTCTCTATTGTGACAACCGCAGTGCTATTTAGATTGCTCACAATTTGTCTTCTATGAACGGACCAAACACATTGAAATTGATTGTCATTTTGTCCGCCAGTATTTGCGGTTTGTCTCTATCTTACTTTCTTTCGTCTCCTCGGCTTTGTAACTTGTGGACTTTTTCACCAAAACTCATACTACCGCTCGGTTTTAGTTTCTTCTTTGCAAACTCTCCATATTTTCTGCTAAAATATCTTGAGTTTGAGCGCGGGTGTGGGAATATATGTATATATGGCATACTTGTGTATATTAGGAATTAGGCAGATTAAGCAAGATTGTGGTGGTGTAAATAGGAATGTATTTCTTTTTTCAATCGTAGATTTAGGACTATATAAATTGATGAATTATTAGTGAATAATACAAGTTGAATATACAAGTTTATTCAAAAACGTACAACATAAAAGAAATCAAAAAAAAAAAAAAAAAAAGAAAGAAAGAAACATCATACATGGGATAACCACACTTACTTTTCCCTTGATCAAAGATTGAAGAACAGGTGGCAATATTTGACAATTTTCATGCTTGTGAATCATCAAAACAAAGCGCAGCTGCTAAGGTTGATTGGGCATTAATGATATGAAGCTAGCATGAAAACCCTATGGCACCCTCTGTGGCAGTGTTATGTTGGCAACTGACTCACTTCCAAAATTCTTCACATCAACTATATAAACCTACAAAATGGAAGAATTTAACACAATTTCCCATGTTTATCATAACAAGAGAACAAGCATAGTTTTCGAAACCTATTTTTTGAAAAACACTAAAAATTAGTCAGTGATAAAAATAATCAAATTACAAAATGCTAGCATTTGCGCTCACCCCTAGTATGTATGTATATATATATATATATATATATGAAGACTCCTTGTTTCCATTTTTCTTCTTCAACCTGTCTCTATTGTGACAACCGCAGTGCTATTCAGATTGCTCACAATTTGTCTTCTATGAACGGACCAAACACATTGAAATTGATTGTCATTTTGTCCGCCAGTATTTGCGGTTTGGCTCTATCTTACTTTCTTTCGTCTCCTCGGCTTTGTAACTTGTGGACTTTTTCACCAAAACTCACACTACCGCTCGGTTTTAGTTTCTTCTTTGCAAACTCTCCATATTTTCGGCTAAAATATCTTGAGTTTGAGCGCAGGTGTGGGAATATATGTATATATGGCATACTTGTGTATATTAGGAATTAGGCAGATTAGGCAAGATTGTGGTGGTGTAAATAGGAATGTATTTCTTTTTTCAATCGTAGATTTAGGACTATATAAATTGATGAATTATTAGTAAATAATACAAGTTGAATATACAAGTTTATTCAAAAACGTACAACATAAAAGAAATCAAAAAAAAAAAAAAAAGAAAGAAAGAAACATCATACATGGGATAACCACACTTACTTTTCCCTTGATCGAAGATTGAAGAACAGGTGGCAATATTTGACAATTTTCATGCTTGTGAATCATCAAAACAAAGCGCAACTGCTAAGGTTGATTGGGCATTAATGATATGAAGCTAGCATGAAAACCCTATGGCACCCTCTGTGGCAGTGTTATGTTGGCAACTGACTCACTTCCAAAATTCTTCATATCAACTATATAAACCTACAAAATGGAAGAATTTAACACAATTTCCCATGTTTATCATAACAAGAGAACAAGCATAGTTTTCGGAACCTATTTTTTGAAAAACACTAAAAATTAGTCAGTGATAAAAATAATCAAATTACAAAATGCTAGCATTTGCACTCACCTCTAGTATGTATATATATATATATATATGAAGACTCCTTGTTTCCATTTTTTTTTTCATTTTAATTTAGATTTCCAACAATAATTTATATGGAGCAAGAGGATTGTGATCTCTCTATTCCATTACATCATCCAAGTTTACTGTAAGTGTAATGATCTTTTCTTAATTTAAAATAGTTATAAATTTACATTCATATTTCATAGTCATTACTCCATTACATATGTCATACTTTTATTTCCAAATCTGGTAGTCCTTTAAATTTTCAATTAGTCATTACTCCATTACATATGTCATACTTTTATTTCCAAATCTGGTAGTTCTTTAAATTTTCAAATTGGTTACCGGTGAATAAATTTTTGCTGAGTTTGTATCAAATGTGAGAGATTTTGAAATAAATTTATTAGACTTAAACACTTTTAAATTTATTTTTATTAAAATTCATATAGCTTTTTCAACATTTTTGTTTCCAGCTCCCTCATCATAAGCCTTTACTAGTATATATATATATGGAGGGGGGGGGGGTAGGGATGGCAATTTGAAACCGGCCCGACAGGGATCCCCGATCCCGACCCCGATTTAAGCGGTTTTTTCCCGAAAAATACCCCCGACGGGGAGGTGACGGTATTTGAAAATCAATCCCCGATCTGTCACGGGCCGGGGACGGTGATCAGTGTTTGATCCCCGGCCCGGCCCGATCCCCGGCCTCGGCCCCGTCCCAGGCCCCATCCCCGAATTTCCCCGAAGTGAAATTACTTTTATACCCCTTATATTTATATATTTATATATTTATATTTAATAATAATAATAATAAACCAACTCTCTCCCTCACTCTCATCTCAACTCAACTCTCTGGTTCATCTCTCTCTCCCTCACTCTCATCTCAACTCTCTCCCACTCTGTCGTTCATCTCGCTGTCAACTCTCTCTCTCGGATGACAACTTCTCATCTCTCTTTCTCTCACGATATCGCTTCCTCTCTTGTTACTTTCTCTCTCTCTCTCTCTCTCTCTCTCTCACGATATCGGCATCGGCGAAGTATCTCACACACGACTGTCGCTCCTCTCTCTAGGCGTCGATGACAACTCCTCATCTCTCTTTCTCTCACGATATCGCTTCCTCTCTTGTTACTTTCTCTCTCTTTCTCTCTCTCTCTCTCTCTTGGTTTTGTTCTTCAGATCTAGAAAATGATAAAGATGAAGATGTTGTTGATGAAGATCTGTTGTTGATGAAAATGATGAAGATGCTTTTTTTATTTGAGCTTAGATTTGTATGGGTGTGTTGTTGTTGTTGATGATGACAACGACGATGATGAACAATGATGTTGTTGTTGTTGTTGATGATGATGATGATGATGATGATGAAGTTGATGTTGTTGTTGTTGATGAATTCTTATATTTTTTGGAGCTGATTTTTTTTTTTTGCTAGGAATGTTTGGGGTCGAGGAAACCTGATCCCTGTTAGGGGGCGGGGATGGGGACGATGACAGGTTCCCCGTTGGGGATCAGGGAATTTTTTACCATCATCCACAAAGATCGGGGACAGGGATTGTGATCCCCGGCCCCGCCCCGCCCCGTTGCCATTCCTAGGGGTGGGGGGGAATGGAAAAGCAAAGCAGAGCATATACTGATGTTGTGAAAAATTTACAAACCTAGTGGGGACTGAAGAGGCGGTGGAAGCAGAAGCTGGTCTCCTCCTCCAATGTGACCAGCGGGGGAAGAGAGGTGGTTCCGCAGTAATGGTTGTGGCGGCGGGGGACGGAGGGAGACGGTGGTGATTGTGTTTTGAAGAAAATGAGAGGGGGGAAAATATGAAAGGGAAATGACACTTAGCCTCCGTTTGGAAAGTGGGTTGACTTTTTGATTTTTTGACTTTTTTAGTTATTTTAGTCTGGGGCTAAAAAGCCTGATTTGGGAAGGACTTTTTGACTTTTTTGACTTTTTGGAGAGAAAGAATATAATAATTTATGGGTTGAATGTGATATTTTGTCTTATTAAGCTAAAAAACATACTTTGTCATTTTGTGACTAAAATAGTCTCAAACCCAACCCAACCCTTCTTCTCAAACGAAGCCATAAAAAAACAATTAATATCAAGAAATAGGGCCAATTTGAATACTATTTATCAGTTACTTAATCTTGAGACTACTCTCAAAGCATCTTTTTTATTTTAATTTTTTTATGTTATCTTTCGATTTTGCGTATTTTGCTAATTTTTTTTTTTTTTGGGTTTGGATTTGGCTTTTTTTGTTTTTTTGTATTTTTTTTTTGTATATTGGGTGTCGATCTGCTGACTTTTGCTTAATTTGTTTATTTTTTATTTTATTTTGGGTTTGAATTTGCCATATTTTGGTTCTTCTTTTTTATTTTAATTTTTTTATGTTAGGGTTTCGATTTTGCCTTTTTTTTGTTTTTTTTTTTGGGGGGGTTTCGCTTTGTCATTTTTTGCTTTATGTTTTTTTGTTGACAATTTTTGTATGTTGGGTTTCGATCTCCCGAATTTTGCAAATCCAAATTTTTTATTTTTTATTGTTTTTTTTTTGAGTTTGGCGGATTTTGCGTTAATTTTTTTTTTTGTTTGAATTTTTTTTTATTTTGCGCTTGGATTTTTCGTATTTTGCTTAATTTTTTTTCCTGTTACTTTTTTTAATTTTGGGTTTGGATTTGGGGTATTGTGCTTAAATTTTTCAATTTTTATTTGGGAATTTATGTTTTTGTCTTTTTAATTTTTTTTTTGTATTATAACTATGTTTTTTTTTAACTATGTTTTTTTTTTTGTCTTGGATTTTTATTTTTAACTATGTCTTGTTTTTTTTAATTGGTATACAATAACTTTTTTTTAATATATTTATGTGTTTCATTTATTTGTAATTTACGTCGCACATGACAATTTGTGTATAAGTTTTCTTTTTCATTTGTTTTTATTTGTTTCACCTTTTTTTGTTTTTCCAAAAGCAAAATTCGTATGGATTGTTGTTTTTTAAAGTTAGGCACGTCAGCAACTGGAAGGGATTACATTCCCGTAGAAACTCATACATATTGTACATGATAATATATTTGAATACAGTCTGTTCCACGTGTGTCATTATGTGACAACCATACGAAAATTATTTCGACTACTATATATTTCCTAACATTCCGTTATTACGCATGTAACATAATTTGTCGCGTATGTGAAGGCGGACCAATGCCATATGGGGGTCCTCATCTCCAACCATTAAACCATCCTCGTCATGTTCAACTTCTGGTATGGCATTTACTATTGTCATAGCCTCTTCCTCGTCACAGATTGGCTGAACAGTTGTTGGGTTACCTGTGTTTCGCCGTATATAATTATGTAATGCCATTGACGCACCTACTAACTGAACTTGCACATTTGCAAAGTCATACCGAGGCATGTCTCGAATAAACCCCCATCGATTTTTCCAGGCACCGAAAGTGCGTTCCACCACACTGCGTAAGGATGAGTTCACTTTGTTAAATAATTCCCTTGGCGTGTTTGCCATCGCGTTCCGTGCAATACGTCGGAATTCTTGTTGGTGGTAACGGTGGCCTTTGAATGGTGCTAAGTAACCAATCCGGTTTGCATAGCCAGAATCGACAAGATAATATTTGCCTGCAGACATGACAACAATGTATAACACCAAAACGAACATTCTGCGTCATTTTCATATAACGCTTTCTTAGGAAAAAGGTATTTGTTAATAAATCTAATAACATGACCATGTGTTACCTTCGTCAGGATGTGGAAAGGGGACATTGTCATTTGTTAGTATCTCGTTGAATATGCGACTATCATGTATACTTCCTTCCCATCCGCAAGAAATGAATATGAAACACATGTCAAAATCGACAGCGACCATTATATTTTGCGTGTGACAGTATTTCCTATCGAAATATGTTGCCGCATTTGGCCCCGTAACCCATGCACTGACATGTGTTCCGTCTATTGCGCCAATGTAGTCCTGCAAACATGGATAAATTGTTTTGTTGCGTAAATTAGTAACAAGTGTTTCGTTTTTGCCAAGCGTCATGTGCAGTTAAGAACAAAAACAAAATATATTATCTTGATTTATATGTCAATCATGTTTTTCAGAAGTACCTTGAACGGTAGGTATTTCCGTCTAGACCGCACGTATGGATGTATACGATGCTGACTGTATGTGGGTCGGCAATGAACAACAGTGAACTTTTTTATGGAAGTTAATACGTTATGCACGTGCCTCGACACAGTCTCCCCGGAATGTTGGAACCGTTCTTGGATTTCCCGATTTTGCTTCCCTTTCAACACATGGATAAACATCGCAAAGCTTTTTTCAACACCTAAGCCATGGGGACATTGCGGGACTTGTAACCCAAAATCATTGACTAATGTCTCACACAATGCGGCAAAAACTTCCTTCGGCATGCAAACATTTTCCTCAAATAGACCCATATGCCCCGCATATAGTTCGCATATCCATGTATTCCCGGTTAGTATAGAAGTGCGACACGGCGTTTTATTCATGTGTTTTTTGTACCATTCTATCGCCAACTGGCATGCTTGTAGAAATGTGCAGTTCTGTTCTTGTTGCACCTGGACCGCCATTTGATTAAGCATTTCAGTTATTTCATCATGGTTGCTTCCATCCCAGGGATTCATCGCGTCTTCGTTGATGCGAAACCTACAAGAGTGGCAGCCTTTCAATCAGTTGGCACGTGATTCATTGACTTAAATTTTATTGAAGTTTGCAATTAGAAAATGCCGACATTGTTTTTAATCAAAGTAATGCAGTCACCAATGTCATTTGGAACGCATGATCATATGAATTGCACAAAAAAAAGAAGCTGTTCAACTTATGCTTTACAGGGGGCCATGGTGGTAACAACCACAAAACTAGCCAGCAAACTAAACTAACAAATGAACTTGCGACATATAGGCATTCAAAAACGTGCAAGTAAAACGTAATTCCCTGTCTTAAACGTACCCACAGAAAATATTATAACATAAACATCCCATTCAATTCCCAAAAACGAAGCACAACCATGCTTGCGTTCCGTCAACCCATGCACTTACCTAAAACTTGTTGCTGCCCGTAGCTAGTAATAAAAAAACAAAAACGACATAATGAAAACATGCACACACCACTATCTTGTTTTAGTACTGTGCCAACAATACCATAAGTCAAACTTTTAAAAAGGAAGAGAAGGACATGCATCTTCAACACTCGTAACACTGCTACATCACATCCGGCGACCCCCAAACAGGTTTGCAAAAGGCGTTGACGCAGTACACTGGAGCTGCTTTTGTGTAAGCCATCCAATGATGTGGTCGTCATCAGGCTGGCACATCATGACCTCCCGGTAATCGGCGTTATCCATAAGTGTGGAGGCGAAGTGGAATAACGGTGTACCAATCAGGGATGAAATACTGCTCAGTTTATGCATGCACTCGGAAATAGTGTACAACGATTCGTTGCCTGTGAGGTGCCTCACCGTGACCTGTTGATTCTTCGAACGCACCACATCTGTCATTCTGTTCATGCTTTCTGCAATAACGGACGCACCACTTGTTCCCTTCTTCGACTTTGAAACACTTGTTGATGGCGTCTTTCTCCTTTTTGCCTTTTCAATCGGAACATGCTCCAGTGAAGTATCAGAATCCACGTCCTGTACTCCTGCGGGTATCGGATCAGCAAATGGCTGCGCTCCCAAACTATGCACTGAATCAGATAAGTCCTTAGCAGGTTCAGGAAGGTTCTCTCCCGGGGTCCAATGATGCTTCCCAGTAGCTGATGCCCCCATGAAGACCGTCTCTATCAAGTCACGGTGTTCCAAAGTTTTTTTCCTGAACTTCACACACGCCTTATTGATCTACAGAAATATAGATGTATGAAAGAGGCAGACGTTATATTTCATATAAATAAATTCTATTGAAGTTAAATGAATAAGTAAAAAATGTATCCGTAAATGACAAATATAAAACTTGTTTGTACATGTACTTACTGATTCCATCTTGTCCCACCACTCGTCAGGTGCCTGAAACAACCCGGTGTCATAGTCAAAGCCTATCCCGGACACTCCCTTGCTTGAATCCATCAACTTTGTCTACGCTTGCCACTCTTTTTTCAAGGTCATGTACTTATTCTTCAACTGTTTCAGTCCATGTTTTTTTCCTGTTTTTTTCCCAAATTTCCTTGCCAATGACTTGTACCCTGCTTGGCTGAGGACTAAGAATGGACGATTTCCTTTACTAATCTCATTTGCAATCAACTGGAGGAAAACTCGAATTGAGTTACTGTCCCATGAGGCCTTGTGGCTGAACTAATTTTGTGTCTCTTCAAGACTGCTGACTTGTCAGTCACAACGCCTTTGCTTTTCGATTGGTTACACGGCGAAGTACGTGTGGAAACCATTACTAATGTACGGTTACAAAAGATTACCATCACAAATTTGATTGTTATATACACACGCATAAGCCATGACACATTAATAACAACAAACAGAGATATATGATGCTAAAGTTAAATTTGCATATAACCATTACACATTAATATGGTACGTACACAGGTTCCATGGAAGTTAGTAATGGACAAAAATATGATAGTTAGTATTACGGCTCCCATATGCGAGAACATACTACCAACATACTACGAACGTACTAACTACATACTAACAACATATTCAACACATACTAACGTCTTTGTACATAGTAAGAACATGGTAACGGTGCTTACATACGGCACAACAAAATGACAACGACAATGCAGAGCACATACACAATGGTCTTAAGGACACGCAAGGATTGTTGAATGTCTATGACATCAGCCCGCAATTGCATGGCAATTTCATCTCCGGGTGACGCATAGCCTTGGTTCTCTTGCCTTCGTTCTTCACACCAACCAATCCAACTGACACAAGGCTGATGAGTGAAAAGTATGCAACTATTAGTTTCATGGGTTGTTAATGTTCATAAA